GTTTTTATTAAACAAAAAAAAAAAAAGAGGCCATTCACTGATTCACAAGATGTATTCATCATCATCACAGCCGCAAATTACAAAACATAACAACAAAAATAAATTCCAGATACCAAAAAACGATATGTTTCTTTAATGGTACAGAATCAGAGACAAAAACATATTTCGTCAAATGTGTTTTTTTGTGGTTGATGAATGTTTCTTTTCTTCTGTTTTTGTCGTCTCGTGGCACCACTCTCCAAAAAAAAACTTGTATTTGAATCAAATTGGTAAGCAGTGAGTAAGAAGCGTAACGGGGTTAGGTTTCTTATCCTGACTTCTTGAAAATGGTGTATGCCATGGCTATAGTTGCAACGGCTCCAACCACGGCTGCTCCGATGTACACTTCTTCTTTGTCCAAAGGCTGAAACCATTTGGTCAACTTGCTCTTACAGTTTTTTCCTTCTTTCTTGATTGGCTCTGGTTTCTCGTCTTGGCAACATGAAACGCCGTTTGATCCTTGACAACATCCTCCTGTGAATCCCTTGCTCTCTTCCTCTACTACGCGGTTACCGTTTGGTATCACTTTCTGTTCATGCTCTTTCTCAGCTACACCTTCTGGTAGACCCATTTGCCCCCTGAAACAAAAAGTTTAACTCAATAAATCCTATTGCTGAGTAGAGATAGAGAGTTGAATAATAATGTGCTTTGAGGAACAGAGAAGGTTAAACCGTTTCTGTTCAAACTCAGGGGAATATCTCTAGGCCACAAAGGTTTACTGATGAAGTTAAAAAGATATGTATTTTGACAGAGACATTTGTACTAGCTAAAAACAGGAGTTTGAAATCCATACCTCCAAATCCTTTGTATGATTTCTCCTTTTGCAATATGCTGGTCAAGCAATTCAGGTACATCCTCAGGAGTTACATAGCCATACCTGCATTTAAAGTAAACAGAACATTTATCCGGTGATCCATAAACCTACAATAACATTCTGAGTTTCTTTTCTTTTGATCCAACAATTTACTTACCAATTCCCAGAAATCTTTCCAGCTGAATCAGGACTGAAGATGATAATATTACCAGCATACTTATGCTGTCCAACGTGAGAACATCTCCTAAGAGAGATTTGGTTTGAAAGTCCACGAGAACCAATCTCCTGCTTGAACCTCTCTAAGATAACTGGTCCACAAACACCACATCTCTTGTCTCGACTAGCATGAGTACAAACGAACACAAATGTCCCAGATAACTTTTCCTGTCTCTCAGATTTCCATGGCTTCCCATTCACAAGCACATCTTCAAAGAAACCATCCACTTCCGTATCCAAAATCCCCCTTTTGACCAACACGAGAAAAAATGTAAATCACAAATTGCTCAGAACAAGAACTAAACTTAGCATATGCAATCTCCACTCTCCAGAAATCTGAGCGATACATAAAGATCTATAATCGAATTTCAACAGTTTCTAAAATTAGCTTATGCAATCTCCACTCTCCAGCAATCTAGTAAATAAGAGTCAATCATATAGTCAACTGTTTACGCTAAGAATCAAAAACATAGACGAACTCACTTGTATCTGACCATATCAGGAAAAATCAACACATCTCCATCAGATCCACCACCTTCGCATACATTCAGCTTCGTCTACAATCGG